AGGTGGAATGAAATTGCAAAATCATGAATTTCTTATGCCTTGTGTGTTGATAGCACAATTGTTATTTCTATTAACTATCATTATAGAAAGGTTGTGTTCCATGTTGGTTGTGACATCACTGTGTGAGTGATGGTTGTTGATGGTATTATTTTGGAAAGAAATGGAAAACAAAATTTTTCTGGTGGTTGGGCCACCTAAAGATGTTGTTGAGAAATTGATTTAATTCAAGGGTTTAGAGGAATTCCAAATGAATCTTTTTGGCAAATAAACTGTGGATGGTTATGTGTTTTGGATAACATCGTGTTGGTGAAAATGTATACAAAGTTTTTGAGTTTTTGCGTTGAAAATGCAAGGTTTATTTTGAAATGTTTCATGAGCAAGAAAATGTTTTCCTTATATTGATGTAATAGATTTGCCTTGATTACCCTTTTATTTGAAGTTTTGTTGTTGGGTAGTGACTTGGCTTGAAGCGCTAGTCGGTTGTTGGTGAATTGTTTCGGAAAAAGGTTTGGTTTTGTTGTAGCATTTGTGCCTACAGTGTTGTCGTTTGGAACGTGTTCCCTTGGTTAGTCTCTTCATTGGTAAGAGCGAATCGAAGGTTTGTAGTGAGAGTAGTTTCTTTCCTAGTACTCAGGTGTTAGTGTTGTGTGATCAGTTGGCCATGTGTTTTGGCGCATCCTTAATTTCGAGGACGAAATTCTTTAAGGGGGGGAGGTTATAGCGATCCCTCACAGTAACATGTTACTGTGTCTGAATAGTAACATGTTACTCTAGCAATATTGTCCAAGAAAAAAAAAGAATATTTTACTTTATCCTTATTCAATTATGTGTTTTTCTCCTCAAGGGTTTATGAAGCAAAATAAATTGGCTGTCATTTTCACTAAACAATAGTCCAATGAAGGGGTTTGGCTAAATTTCTTAAGCATTTTTGACTTCTCCCATACCTATTACCATACCATTTTCAACTTCTCTCATATACTATGTTTAGTTATAAAATTGTTAAATTATTTTTATAAAAAAACTAAAAAAAAAATTATATATTAAAAAAAATCTAAAACAAATATAAATTTTTATTAAAAATAACAAGTTGCAATTGCAAAATGCCATTGTTGTAAAGGGTTACACCCTTCTTCTTGTACTTTTAATGTGTTGTACGCTCGAGCGGACCTGTTTTATATCAGTCCGTGAAATCACTTTTTTGATCACTTTTTGATTTCCTTTCTCTCTCTTACTTTTTCAAAACCTCCATTGGAGAGCACCTCACTCTAAAACCTAACTTCTCTCTCAGGATTGATCTAGCTAGAGTGTTTTCCCCACCTTGGGCCTTTGTAAGAAGTGTGTTGATCGTCGAGGGCTTCGTTGTGATCCAAGAAATTTGGGATTTGGAGCACTTCCGAGTTTTACTCATCTTCTTCTTGAGTTCTTCATTTGAGGTAGGGATTCTCCTTGTTCTTTTTCAATACTTCGTCTATAGATAGACATGTGGTAATTTTGTATTGCATAAAAATCATATCCATGTTGAATTTGTTTGAAATCATGGGGAGGAACCTAGGGTTGGGTATTTGAAAATGGTTATGTTATCATTGAGAGTTGTTTTGGGCTACTTGGTGTGTTAATTAGCATGTGGTTGTTGAAAGGAGAGGAAACCCTAATTCTTTTTATTCGATTTAATAAATTAATTGAGGGGTTTAGATCTTTGGGCAAATACTTAGGTATTTTGAGTCTTAATTGTGGTTATTGTTGTTGTTGATGTTAATTGGGCCTTTTTGGTCAATATTGAGAAGGAGGAAGGAAAACTCTAATTTATTGTTTATGACTTAATTTGCATAATTAGTTCGAAATGGCTTTGAAAAGAATGTAGTGAATTTAAATGAGTTATGGCTTTTGTCCTTGGGCATGATTTTGTGAAAACAAAGGAAGTGGAATTCATTTTGTGAAATGGAAAGGTATTTTGAAACAAGTATAAGAAAATTGGAATGTTGTATCTTGAGTGTTGAACATACTTGTGTGGGGTATAGCTTTAACTACCATGATCATGTTGTTGCTGAGTTTTATAATCTCATGTTAGTTGGGTCTGTTAATAGATGTACAATATGCATGCATCTAGAGATTTTGTCTTGGTCATCGGTGGAGGATGATATGGTTGCGTTGAATTGCTGTGTATGTAATACATCATTGTTGATTGAACATTATATGTGATGAAATGCTGAATTACATTATATTTGTATACTGGTTTGGGAGAAGAGAGGGGTTGTACTCCAGTGTGTGTGAGAAGATAGGGGATGAACTCCACACACTTATGTGTTCAGCGCTTATAATCAAAGGTATCATACCCTTCCAGCTAGCGCCTGGAGAACTGACGCGCTGATAATCTAAGGTACCATACCCTTCCAGCTAGCGCCTGGTAAACTGGTAGATTGTGGTGAGAAGTGCATCTTTGGCTTACTACGCATATAGCTAGTAGTGCAGTGTTGTTTTGTTATTGTTTCAGTGTATCTGGAAACATTGTGGATTGTATTTGTTACAGTGTTGGAGGGACGAGTTGACTCATTGATTGATTTTATGTATGTAGTTGAGTTGTTATCTTTTTTTTTTTATAGAGGTGTGCATGGATAATTATGATATAATTGGAATTGCATTGAAATGCCAAATATGTTTTGAAAAGGCACATCTGTTGTATGTGTGGCAAATGGAAGAGTAATGGGCTTAGTGAATCTATGTTTCTAAGTAGTTGTTAATGTTATAAAAGATTGGGAACGGGGGTTAATGAAAGGAAAAAAAGGAAAGATGAATCGCTTATAGCGTTGAATTAAATGGTTGTTTTCGAGAAAAGTTCATATACACATATGTATATATATATTTTGTATAAACTGTCACATTATTATTCTAGTATGAGAATGAGTGTTCATGATCATAGCTATCTGTAATGTTGTTATTGTTGAGGATCATGTTAAGATCCCTACTGGACTATATGTTCATCCCACGTTGTTGAATTCTTTTCAGGTTTCAAGCAGGTTGAGCTGTAAGATTTGGATCTACTTATTTGTTGGCCACGGGGCCTTAGTTATGTTGGCGGAATGCCATTGTTGTAAAGGGTTACACCCTTCTTCTTGTACTTTTAATGATGTAAGCCCAAGGGCAATTTATTAAGTTAGTTCATGTAATGTTTACTTTGCATACGAATGAGAGTATTGTTAATCATTTCTACGGATTGAATGGATGAGTTTATTTCCGCATGTTATCTCTGAAATTGGATCAAGTTAAAGAATTTGGTAATGACTCCGAGTAATAAAAAGTGGGGCGTGACAACTTTTAAGGACAAAAGACTAAAATTAAATATATTTTATTATCTCTTTACACCCATTACTCTTCAATCCCTACTGCTCTTCTTCGTTTCTCAGTTTTTTTTCTTTGCTACATATCTCTTTTCAAAAAGTGAGAATTGATAGTGTTTTGATCATAGAAGAAAGCAATGAATGAAGAAACAATGGTGAAGAACCATAAAAAAAGTGAAATGTTGAGTTTTTTTTATTTGTTTGGTAAGTTTTCGTTTCATTTTTGAGAGAGTTTTTTGAATTTTGTTTGGTGTGCCAAAATTGAACAAAATAAAATAATCTGGAATCACATTGCCGAACAAAAAAATATATGTCCAGTAACCTATCATCTAATAAAGGATACATTTTCTGTAATCTAAGGCCGAACGTTTTTAATTTGTTCAGTTACTCATTACTGTGCATTTTCATTTCATTTTTTTTAATATATTTTTTTGCTTGGAAGAATTATATTTCTATTCATTGTAGCAATGCAAGTACAATCATCCAGTTGCTGAACATTTTAAAGGGTACTCATTTGCTGGTAGATTATCGAAGGAGGAAACATCCTTGTTAATTAATATGTTAAAGAGTATGATGCAACAATTAGAGATATTGATTACATTGAAAAGAAGGGATGCCTTTAATGCGACAACAATGAAGATAATCTACAACGCACTTAAAGCGACAAGTGGCTGGACAAATGTGTTTTAGTTTGGCAACATGAAATTGGAATAATCTAATTTGTATAGTAATATATCACCGAATAGGCATTTAACAAATGGGCTCCAACTAATTTATTGTTAAAGTAAAGTAAAATCATTCAATCAAACGGCAACGATTGGTTGGAAAAAATTAGTTCGATAATATGACACTGGTCCAGATAATTGCCACCCCCAAACATTTTGTGTCTTCTCCTTACGTATCCCCGAGAACAATAAGATGTCCGAGGGTTTTAGAAATTATCTCAACGAACCTTTGATTTCAACCACCAAACTAGCAATTCCTACCATCCCAAGATAAATGTCAGGTGTGGTCCAAGGGACTTCCTGCCGTATGATACCAAGTCCAAGGGGACTTTCCAAGTCCTACTACCTCGACTTTGAGTAAAGACTAATTTGAGTGATGAACAAATTTATCTTTGAGTTCTCCATCTTCAAGAGAAGGTCCATTTCCAAACTCATCATATCATGGTTCTAACATGTCAATTACGCTCCAAGTTCGCAAGTGTTCTGGGATTCTTAATGGCGTAACTTCTAGGTCCTCGAAACATTTTCGAAGCCAAGTACTCAGATCTTTGGGTTTATGCTCCAAACTTTTTCGAGTTTAGTTGCAAAGGATATTTGGATCCATGGTTCTGGACTATTTCAAGTCCAAAAGTTCGTCCCAAGAATTTCGTGGTCTAAACTCTTTGTACCACTTCCAGCCTTCAAAGTTTGGGTAGGAGATTTGAATTTCATACTTTTAAGTTTCCACTTCTTACAGTCTTCATTATAAGGTTTATGAGATAAACGATTCCAATCATCTTATAGGCCCAATGTGTGACCCACAAAATGAAATATGAAGAAATATAAAGAATATTCAATGCCTTTTCTTTTTGTTTTTAAATGTTAAATCTATAATTATACCACATCATTTTGTGTAATTTTGGAAAATTCTATCAAACACCTTCTTTCAACTTTCTTAAAAATATAGTTCAAGATTTCAAATAATCTCACTTAAAAGTTTTTCCATGGGCTCAACAACCTCTATTACAGAAGTAAGCAAGAATAGAAAACATTGTCTGTGTCAAAGTGAGTAGAAGCAACATAATAGCTCCGAGAAACGAGATGATTGTCCATGGGCTGTTGAAATAATTACGCCTCAACATCGCAGTCCATACGTTCCAACGTTGCTTACTATACCCGCTTATGTCGTTAAATACTTGAGAGTAATAAAAATTGTCATGAGGTGTAATGGCACAAGTAGAAATCTTGTTAAGAATTGACACAACCGCTTCATCACCACCTAGCATGTTTTCGAGAATTCCACAGCGACGAAGCAAGGAGACATCCTGTGACGAGTTAATGAGGCAACACAAGAGAGTTAAATAATCAGTGGTATATTTGAGGCCAATGTCCTCCTCGAGATGATGTTGCTCGTATGCAATTACATTTCTAAGAAGACATTCTGTCTTCTCATGTATAACGAATGTTGGGATTTCTAATACCCCATTTTTAAATTTTACATTACACATGAACGTATCATGCTTACATTTCTTGAACTTGATCCCAACTTCATGTAGCTCTGTGGCACAATGTATGTGTTCCCATATCTTTTTCTTGTCTGCAATGACATTTGTTAGAGGTATTGACTTCGAGAGTGAAAAAGATGCAATTTGGTGTGTCAGACCAAGAAAATGCTTCACTCGGCAAGTTGAAATTCCATTACAAGCATATAAAATCTTTTCAAGACCTAGCGATGCACTATAACATAAATATTGACTGACAGAATGACAGTATCGAATGGCTAAATCAGTGATATTGTCATGAGGGTCGAGAAGTTTGGTCATATCAAACAACTGCACAAGAACAAAGAATGGCAGTTGATTTTCAAATAAAAATAAGTCGCGCAATATACTTGGAAGTATCCAGTCAATTTTGAAAAGCGAGTCATTTCTATCTCTCATACTTGTTATGGTAAATTTGCGAAACAACTCAACGAGAAAGCAGCTGTCAAGAAGCATCATTTTCACAAACTCGTCTTTGTTAAGCCATATAGAGTTTGCATAACATCTAAGTGCTTGTTCTTGCAAATCTCTCATGGCTACTATGTATCTATCCACACTAGTCTCATTTCTTCGTTTAAGAAGCAATCGCAGATACCCTAATTTGTGTTCTTCCATCCATTGTAAGTTGTCTTTACCATGGTGATATGGTCCTATAGCCAATATTTCTGGTTCATATAACTTTTCATTTTGCCAACGTAGTCGATCATGCACTTTGTAGATATAACACTCAGAGTCTGTACTAGATAGGCGTGTAAGCTTTTCATCTAAGTGAAGGGAGACAGGATCAACAGTTGCATTCGACAGCATATCTTGTAAAATTATTGGAAATCCTGTCTAAACAAATTACCAAATTTGTTATATATATATAAAGAAAAAAAAAAGAACATAGGATATATTACATGAATGAAGCCAAACTTAAAATATTACAGACTGGTCTAAAAGAGTTTTCCAAAAAGGTTTTCTCATATATTTCGAAGCTCACATTACAGACTGACCATGGCTAGTACATTTTTTCAGTTATCTAAAAAAAATAAAATATGGAACCCCCTTGAAATGCTTCGAAGTCTATCTCCCATATCTAATTTTTGGGCAAATTATCTAAAGAAATTTTTTTTTTTAGTCGGTGATCTAATTGGAGTGGTGCTATTGGGTTTGTGCTCCTTAGTTCACTTTAGGACCACCTAATTGATTGGAACCTTTCAATTTATAGGATCCGTAGATAAGTTAATTTACTTAAAAAATTAAATTAATTGGATATTGATAATTACATGATCGTATCACATTTGTCTTATAAAATTGGACAACAAAATTTATCTAGTGGAATCACCATTGAAGAGGAACTCAACCCTTAAGAATTTCAGTGATAGATGACATTAGATGAAGCAAAATGCTACCTATAATCTTATTCCTCATCTCTTTTTCTCACTACAAAACACAAGCAAGCAAGCAGATTTTATATGCATTTATGACTATAAAGGCCTAGGGCCTATTACTTTGTGTTCAAAAGTGAGAAACCAAAATAAAAAATATAATTATATATAACATTACTCTTAAATAAAACTACCAAAACTACATACCTATGCATGTGTTTCTTAAGACGTTTGCAGGCCAATGCCCTTCTTGATCCCCCTCTCCTTGTGCCCTTATCAGGTGTGATATTTAGTTCAAATCTTATTATTGTGTCTAGGAAGTAGGATAGTAGATATAATACGATAAGGATACAACTATTGAATAAAACTTAAAAAAATATGAAACCAATACGATTAGGATATGTTTTTATAAAAAATAAATAAATTATTTTTTAAAAATGATTAATAGTGAATTACGTATAAAATCAAGAATGTTAAAAAATCATACTGTAATTTTATAATGCAAAATATTAACATTTAAGAATTAGATATTAATTTACGATAGTAGCTTGCTTAGTTCTTAATTTTCAATAGATCTTGAACATATTTCATTTCAATATCTAATATGTTTGTATTATAATAATAAATAATTTACAACTTGTCCCTGCATTTTTCCTTTTGGCACAGGTAAAGAATATTGTTTTCAAGTTTACTTACTTATTTATATGTTGATATTTAATTTTAATTATACTATTATTATATTCTCTTATTAATACTTACTTTCTATATAATTATATGGGACATGCATGAAAGAAAAAAAATATCAATTTGACAAATTTAATTACTTTAATTCACTATATTCTTCTTATCAAATAACTAAATAAAGTATTAGAAAAATATTCTTATATTTATCCATACAATTATTTATATTATATTATTATGCAAGAAATACTACAATTTTAATTTAGTAAAAGAAGTATTATGTGATTTAGAGTATCTGATATATATCTGTGAATATCCAAAAAGTAGATATCTAATACAAATATAATACAAATACATCTCTCTTTTTGAAATATCCGAGAAAAATATCCGTACTTCATAACAGTGTCTTATGAAAATTTTGATTTCTTTCATTTTTTCCCTCTGGCTACCAATTGTTAATATATATATATATATATAAATAAACAAATAAATAAATAAGTGGATAAACATACCAGGAAAGAGAGGCCTCCAAAAATCAACCAATTCGCTTACAGACACCTCCAAAACCAAGAGAAGGATGACAGTCGAGAGGACTTTCCAAACAACAACAAACTTTTATAACTCTTTTTATCTACATACATATGCATATTCATCCATATATATAAAGGGTGAGTGAACAATATATATATTTTTGTTGAATTTATCTTATTTTAGTCTTGTAACGCCCTCAAAATAACAACATTAAACCCATCAATAAAGATATGCATTGATATGTAAAAGTTCCACATTCTTCCATTTATCAGAGTTTCATTACAAAAAGTATTACATGTTAACAACAAAAGCAAATGCCCTATGGGCTTACAGCTTTCCAAGTTAACACTTGGTTACAACAAAAGAGTACTAACTCATACACATTAAGCCCTTGGCTTGAATTTACATGTAATACATCAAAAGTAAAACAACAAAGGTGTGCCCGCCTCTAGCCTCCCAAGCTATGTCCTTGGAGGTGGCATGCTACCTGTACCTGAAAATAATATTCCCATATAGGGTGAGCCACAGCCCAGTAGAAATACACTAAACCTATAGCGATCCCGGTTCTTTCTCCTTTGGTTGTAGTATCCGGACTTAGTTCCATGGATTCCGGTTGTTGTTTTGAACTTGTTTCTGTCCTTAAATTCTTTAAATTTGAGTTAAAGAATGTTTTGGACTTGTTCATTCCAGGTTGGGTGTGTTTGGGAGCAGGTGGTTGCTGCCCAGGTTTTTAGTCCTTCGCTCGAGCGAGCTGTTTGTTGCTCGAGCGAGCGTGGAGTTTTGTGTCTGGTGGGTCGAGCCAGGGTGGCTTCGCTCGAGCGAGCGTTGCGTCTGGTACTAGGACCTGAGCACTGGAATTCTTGGCTCGAGCGAGATTTTGTCGCTCGAGCAAGCTTCTGGTTTGTTTGCCTGCGCGTGAGTTTTCTGTGTCTGGTCGCTCGAGCGACCAGGTCTTCGCTCGAGCGAGTCTATCGTATTTCAGTAGGCAGCAGCGGGGAAAAAGATCATTTTTCTCCCTCTTTCATTCTTGAAACCCTAGCAGCCGAGAGTCTCTCTCTCTAAACTTATTATCTCTCTAGATTTCATCTCTTTTAGTATGAATCCATCTTAAGTTCTTTGTAAGAAAGATAGAGGGCGGCTTGGGCTTCGTTCTAATCTGAAAAATAGTGGATTTGGAGCACTTGGATTTTGGGTCATCTTCTCCATTTGTGTTCTTTGTTCGAGGTAGGGATTCTCCTTGTTCTTTTTCAATACTACGTCTATAGATAGACATGTGGTAATTTTTGTATTGCATGAAAACCATTTTATGTTGGATTTTTGTATAAATTCATGAGGTTGAACTTTGGGTTAGTTGTTGGATTTAGATCTATTATCATTAGATGTGTTTTGGGGCTAATTGGGTGTTAATTAGCATGTTGTTGTTGTAAGGAGAGGAAACCCTAATATTTATTTGGTTTAATAACTCAATAGAGGGGTTTTGATCATTGGGTAAATACTTGGGTATTTTGGGTTTTGAATGAAGCCATTGTTGTTTGTTGTAGATGATTGAACCTTTTTATCAATATTGGGAGAAGGGGAGGGAAATCCTATCTTAGTGATTATGATTTAATTTGTATAATTAAATTGAAATGGCTTGGAGATGAATGTAGTAGATTAAAATGAGCTTTGGCTTTATTGTCCTCGGATTTGATTTTGTGAAAAACAAAAGGAACAAAACCGGTTTTGAAAAATAAAGAAAGTTGGTTTTGTGAAATGGGAAAGGTACTTTGAAATGAGTATGAATGTTGGATTGCTGTATCTTATACTACTATGTTAGTATTAGTGATAAGTTGATGATCTCATGATATTTGAGTCTGTTAATAGATGTACAATATACATGCATCTAGAGGTTTTGTCCTTGGTCATCGGTGGAGGATGACGTGGTTGTGTTGAATTGTTGTATTTTAACTCGTTGTTAGATTCTTGTTGGTTATGTATATGCATTATACATGTTGGATATGCCTTGTTGCATGGTTGTTGTGGGCGTTATATGTCGCGCTTATAATCAAAGGTACCGTTACCTTCCAGCTAGCGCCTGGAGAACTGTATGCGCTGATAATAGAAGGCACCATACCCTTCCAGCTAGCGCCTGGTAAACTGGTATTTTGGCTTACTACGCACATAGCTAGTAGAGCGAAGTTGGTTGTAGTTATTTCAGTATATCTTTGGCTTACTAAGCGCATAGCTAGTTGAGCAAAGTGGAATTGTTGTGGTTTAGTTGGAACTGAAAATATCATAGATTTGATTGGTTCCAGTTCGGAGAACCGAGTTACTCCATTGATTGATTGTATACATGTGGGTGGGTTGTAAATTTATATTTTTACAAGGTTATGCATGTATAGGTATGATAGTAGTGGAAATGAATCAAAATGTCTTTTGTCTTTTGGAAAGTGTGAAGGAGAATGAATGTTTTAACGATAAACATGTTTTGAAAAGGTACATCTGTGTATGTATAGGAAGTGGAAGAGAGTATCGGGCTTAGTGAGATTATTTTCCTAAGTAATTGTTAATGTTATGAAAGAATGGGAATGTGGATTAATGAAAGGAATAAGGAAAGATGAATTGATTATAGCGTTGAATGAAATGGTTGTTTTCTAGAAAATTTTATATATATATTTTGAATAAACTGTCATATTACTATTCTAGTACGAGAATGAGTGTGCATGATCATAGCTATCTGTAAGTTGTTATTGTTGAGGATCATATTGAGATCCCTACTGGACTTTATGTTCATCCCACGTTGTTGAATCTTTTTCAGGTGTTTAGCAGGTTGTACTACAAGATTTGGATCTTCTTATTTGTTGGCCACGGGGCCTCTTTGTTGTTGGCGGAACACCATATGTGTAAAAGGGTTACACCCCTTCATTTGTTTATTTAAAGGTTGTAAGCCCAAGGGCAATTTATTGAGTATGTTCATGTAACATTTACTTTGCATACGAATGAGAGTATTTATATTCATTTCTATGGATTGAATATAGGAGTTTATTTCCGCATGTTATCTCTGAAATTGAATTAAGTTAATGAATTTGGTAATGGCTTCGAGTAATAAAAAGTGGGGCGTGACAACTTGGTATCAGAGTTGCCGGGTTTGAATACCTTGAGCTCGTGGGAAGTGTTTTTTACCACAGTGGGTTTACTACGCGTAGTGAGGACGTTGCATATAGATACCATGAGAATTAGGACTTATGTGTTGCATTTATGTGAGCATGGGATTCAGTCTCCTGGATAGTATTCATAGCCTGTGAACTTGCTTTGAGGTCCTTTTGGAAACACGCCTGATCAACGTGGTTTCTGATAGGAATTCCTTGAGAGTTCCGGGAAGAGTGGCTATCTTTGTGGACTTGATTCGATTATGTGTTTACATGTTTAGATGATGATATGCAGTAGAGATGTAAATTTTGAGACTAAGTGTGTCTTGTGACTTAACAGTAGTAGAGTGTGCCTCGGAGAAGGCTATAGTGTTTTGCGCTAAGTGTAATTTACTTTGTGCTTTATAGGATGTCTACACGATGGAGTAGAGGACGGTTGAGTAGTAGGAACGCCAGGAGAGGCACAGCAGTTCCTTTAGCACCTGCCGTTGCAGCATCGGCTGTCGGTGAGGATGTCGCACGTGAGATTGTGAGAGCAATGCAAGACGCCCTAGCTCGTACTGAGGGCGGCAGCGGGCATGCTCTCAAACTTGCTAAGGAGTTTTTCTATTCCGGTCCACCTGAGTTTGTGGGGGAGGCTAAACCGTTGGAGGCAAAGAGTTGGTTGGAACAGATTACCAAGACTCTTGATATGCTCAGAGTCGAAGATGAGGAGTTGAGGGTTTCTTTGGCGACCTTTCAGTTGAAGAGTGATGCGAGTTATTGGTGGAAGAATGCTAAGAATAATGTGGGTAGCACGTGGGTTGCTTTTACCGAGGCCTTTTGGGCCAAGTATTTCCCTCCTTCTGCTCGGGAAAGGTTGAGGGATCAGTTTTTGGAGTTGCATCAGGATGACACTCCTGTGGCACAGTTTGAGATGCGGTTTGATAGTTTGTCGAGGTTTGCTCCAGAGTTGGTGACAACAGAGGAGCGTCGTTGTTTTGAGTTCGAAAAGCGGTTGTGTTTTGATATTCGAGAAAAGGTAGCTGGATCCTTGTGAAAGGATTACTATACTTTAGTTGAGGCAGCGGCCCATGTGGAGGCCTTGATTGCAAGTGATGATGGGGTTAAGGAGGAGACCATCTCGGTCAGTCATGTGGTTCCTAAGCGCTCTAGGCTCAGTAAGGGGTGGAGGCGGAAACATGCTCAGTCGGGAGCTGGTTCCTTTTCTTCGCCAGGGGTTTTGGATCCTTCTGTTGGGGTTTTCGGGGAGGTGCAGGTTTCATACCAGTCTCAGAGTAGGGGGTCTGGTGGTTGTTTCGTTTGTGGCCAGCAGGGCCATGGTAGACGTTTTTGCCCTTCGTGTGTGAACTCTGCAAGTGTTTCAAAACCTAGTCAGACTCAGTCGTACCCGTTCAATCGGGGGCGGTATCGGTACCAGAAACGGGCAGGCCAGGCTTCGGGAGCCTCGCGAGGGGCGACTTATTAGTTAGCCCTACAGTGTTACCCTGGAGAGGGACTTTTTGTATGTTGGCCGGTGATGTATCATGGTTATTGATTTTGTTGTGGACCGGTGTAATGTTGGATGCTAAGGCATCATGATTATGTATCGCATTTATATGCATAGTATTGTTTGTTTAATCCTCATGTATTGGGGAGTATGTATGGAATTTCGAACTCTCTATTTTATGTAGTGAGAAGTTGTTAATGGGGTCAATGATCCTAGTGTTGTTGCTTGCTTGGTACCTGTTTGTGGGTTTGTGTTTTGGGCCTTGCTAGTTAGCGAGTCCGTAGTGACCCCATCGGTTGTATATTAGTAGTGTTTGTGTTATGTTTGGTGATGAATTGTTAGTGTGATTCAATTTTAGGAGATCTGGTGAGATTCCAAAATTTGGGGTTTGTGTAAGAGAACTCCGTGTTGGGAGTTAGTGATTTAAGTGGTACATCAGTGGGTGGATTACTGAATGTGGGGTTATTGAGTTGTTTAGTCAGCTTGTTGGTATTGGGTTTGGTTTGACTTCTGTCACCTTGAGGTTAGTCTCGTTGTTGTAGACTTTGTGTGTTGATTAGGGAG